TTGCAGATATAAGAAAAAAATTAGCCCATTCTTAAGAACAGATTCAGGCACCTTTTATCCATACAAATCATGTCTTGACCAAACTGAAAATATGTAAAACAATTTAAAAGAAAGATTATTAGCGCATTTAGGATGGATTATAGGAAATTCTAAATAGAAATCCGATGATTATCAGATCTACAAGATATAAATAGCTTATTGCTAAATTTTCATTGAATTTAGATCTTCATCCATAAAATTCATGAATAGAACTGGAAAAATATTTTAACAAACTAGAGAATGAAAAGTACAACATTGGAATTCAATACACGAACTATAAGAAGTTAAAAACATGTCCCAAACAAACATATTTATGATCAGCAAACCATCCCAGCCTATTTTTCTTAGTAGAACCCATATTGGCATACAAATAATTGGAATCCACAGTTCATATGATCTCGAGGGATATGTAGATACTTGTGTGGAACCGAACGACCTATTGTACAATATGAACGTAAGTACGCGCATACAAACTAATCGAAGACAAATGTAAAGATTTAAATATGTGTACACCTTGAGAGCTAAATATGAGATTCAATGCCATTGGAGGGACGAAATTTGAGGAATCTTGCGGGAAGGCATGACTTTCTGCGTCGCCGTACAATGAATAACAACTCAATTAAAGTGTCGAATAAAAAATCATAATAAACTAAGAATACTAACCAACAATAGTTGCGAGTACGAAATCGGTGTCTGCATAGAATATTGTTAATATGCTTGCACGATGGGTGTAATAGATGCTGTATTACTCTGGTTGGGCATTGTTCTCTTAGTTCTTTTAGTTGAATTCGAAGTAGCCTGCACGTACATACATGTTAAATAGTTATTTTAAAGGAATATTGTTTAAGTCGACATATAACATGACAAACGAACCTTTGCTCTCTTCGAAGAGGACTCCAAGGGGCTTTTTCTCTTAAACTTCTTAGGTGCGCCCTTTCATCTTGTTGATAGAGGATCTCTTATGCTTCCACTGGCATTGTATTCAGATTGATTACACTGCGAGGCTAACTGAATAGTGTCTTGCGAAATAGCATTACTTCCATTACCTGACTTAATTGTAATCAACTCTTTAATCTTCCGTTGTTCATCATACATGACAACCTTCCATAATTTGTACATCGTCCTTGAAGTTCACTCCATAGCAGATATGATGTTGCAATAAATCTTCCCAGTGAGCTCGACTTGAACTTCCCTGAACTTGAAAATGGTGTAACATTTCTGATATTGCTTTTCCATTTTGAACATTGTTGTACATGGTACCATTTGCGAGTATGATTTGAAGTCAGCTAGGAACTCCTTCTCAACCTTATTTCTTAGTGCCCATTCATATTGTTAGAAAAATTGCTTCAACGAGGTCTTCGAATGAACATACCCATCAAAGAGCGCATTCATACTCTCACTTCGCTGAATTGTTGCATCCCTGCCCAAAATGTAGTTTTCAAATAGCATGGAACCCAACGACCTCTGTTATCAAATAGTCCTGACAACCAATCATTACTATGCAACCCGTACGTGTCGAACGTCATCCTTCAACCTTCTTCAAATTCTTCTATGAACTGCGATTCATACACCAATCCATATATAGTCGAAAATATGGTATCCAAACTTTTCAAGCAACTTTTTCAGAATATGCCACAAACACAATCTATGTTTTGTATTAGGAAAAATAATTTGATTTGCATTTTGCATAGCCCTATCTTGATTGATCATTATTCCATTCGGAGCTTTACCGTTCATACACAACAACCATGNACACCATCTATGTCGAGTATTTGGAAACACTATTTGAATTGCGTTTTGCATAGCCCTATCTTGATCGGTAATGATTTCATGGGAAGCTTTTCCATGCATGCACTGAAGTCATGTCCTAAATAATTACAAAAGTATCGGTGTCCTCGTTGGACAACAAACCACAACCGAGAAATGTTTATTGTCCATGATGATTAACGTCAACAAAAGAGGGCGAAAGGCATATCTACTTACTAGTTAGATAAGTGGTATCAATTGTGACAACGTCGCTTAATTCCTTATACGGTTGCCCAGACCTATTATTTACCCAAAATACATTTTTCAGCTTAGACTCATCTTCTAAATTCATATTGAAGTAGAATCCCGAGCATTGGGCTTGCATCTTGGAAAAGTAGGATTGTATCGCTGCTGCATCTCCTTTCCTAAGTCTTAGACGTCTCACTTGTTCAATATAATTTTGGCAATCCTTTTCCACGCAAATCATGTTTTCATATCCACTTGTTTTCAATATATTTTTGTATAATGGAATTTTCGGCCATATCCTTCAAGCTTCCATTTCACATGTGAACTTAATACTCAATTGCAACTATACAACCTCGACTTCGAAGGACTTATTTTATGATTGCAATCATTGAGATAGACTGTGTTAATTCTCCAGATTCCATGAATATCTGAAGATGCAGTAATCCTAGCTTTACAACCTGTCTGAATTATTGGTTGCGGCTTCAAAGAACCGCTTCTATTGGTCCTTCTTGACCTTCGCAGCTACATGTGATAGTCATATATTTAATTTTCCAATCATCTCTTTTTTTCGAATTCCTTTTCCTAATCGAAAAATCTATATGATATGCATATCCTTTGTCGAAATTCCATAATTCTTTTTCATCCTTGAATATCATACCCACCTTAGGCACCATCGAACCATCTTCTCCGAACGTTTCATTCCTCATTGCTATCATATTGTCCGCAACATTCCCGTCAACATCTACCTCCACCTCAAATCATCACATACGTCTTCCATAGAACTTTGTACTGTAACACAATACAGAAGCTAGTTCAGCAAACCCATTATAGTTGAATAAGTAATTCAAAATGTAATCTCAAGTAATCAAGAACTTCATATATCCCATTGTACAGACAAATTACAATATGAACAAATAAGCAAACGAAAAAACAAAAAAATGATTCATTGAGTTTGAAGAAAAATTATCATGCAAGCAAAGCTCGCCAAATCCAAAGATAATAACTATAATTTCACCAACCCTTTTGTTTTTCAGTTAGTATGTTGAGTCAAGTTTGCAGCACTGGGTAAGCTTTAATGCAATACCTTAATAGCTATTGATGATTTTGGATTTATATTTAACAGGCCTGCCAAATATATGATCAACTCTTTGGTTATCACAAGAACCTTGTTTATGTTATTGAAGTTGAATGCTTTTCATGTAAGTTCCATAAGAAGTTGAGGGAAAGAGGCATGGTTCAACCATTTACAGGTCTTGAGGATGTAAGTGATTAGTATAAATTTATCATCAAAGCATGCCTCGATTTTTATAGTAAAAATGAACCAAAACCCGGGAAAAAAAATCAGCATTATAATTAGAACAACATCAGTGTGGCTCACGTGGGTTTTCCGGAGTTATTGAAATGCCGGTTTGGCTGTTGGCGAAGCTCGGCATCAACATCTTCGTCATGGATGAGTATGCTGGGGTTTTCGCCATAGCCGACAGTCGCAACTTCAGATTCGAGGAGATAGGCGGTGGAAATGTACAATAGGATTCCCTGCCAATGACTTCAGATCGGCAAGAGAGGATTCAATGATTTCAATGTATGCGGCGGGTGAAATTTGAGAGGCGGGGGATGTGGTGTGTTAATTCTAGTCAATTTTCTTCTTCTTTTAGTAGGTTTTTTTACTGTCCCCAAAGTCACTTAGTTTTAAATTTATGTATGACTTTTGTCAACCAGCTTCCATACTAGAGGCATT